AAAAAGTCAGTCGACCTCCAGCCGCCATGATGATAGCTTACTATGTTATGTTATTCTCAATGTTTGATGTTCCATTTCGTTTATGTTTCATTTTTATGTATATTTCTTTTGTTTGTAACCGTTCCTGTGTGCTCTGTTAATAAATCCTTTTAAAGCTAGCCGGCATTAGTGTCTATTGAGGAACGGCTACATCACAAGTTTATATCTGACATTAAGAACTCCAGTTATGCTGCTGATTCAGATATTTATTTATTAAACTATGCGAAAGGTGAATTTGAATTTCTGAAGGAGAAAAAAGCTTTAGAGCCTGTTACCATACCAGAAGTTTCTGATGCATCTCTACAGAATCTCACCCTTAGTGAGGAAAATCACGTCTGTTATATTGCAGGAGCTGCAATAAATTCTGTTTTGAAAAATGCTTGTAATTCATGCTCACAGTTTCTCTTAGTTTGTGAGCAAAATACTCCTTCCATTGATGAAAATAAGCAAGTACATAATTAATTTTGCAAATTTAGGTGGGCTTAAATGTCCTTCTCCTGATTTTTAACTGAAATTTTTAAATTGTGCCTTCTGTGTGAAAAAAATAATTCAAAATTTTCAAGACGAAATAATATGCGGAAATGTAACTATGGATGTGGAATTTGTTAATATGATTTGTAAGAAAGCAGGCGAGGTAAATATTCCCTCCTGTTGCAATATCAAAACAAAGATAATAAAATATTATTTGACTGCCCGTGGAATTGGTCTCAAGAAGCTTCTTCAAAATAAAAGGCAGCAGCGGCAAAGTTTTGCATCTCCTGCTTTTAAAAGGAAGAAAGTAAATTAGAATCTAATCAAGAGTTTAAGAAGTTTTTGCTGTTCAGTTCTGTCTGTAAAAAAGTAGAGTAGTTGTCACTGAAAAATTGCTGCTTGTCTCTTCGAATAATAATTAGGCCCACCAACAGCTGAATGGTTAAAGTTACGTAATGCTGGGAGTTCCATCTTCTGTTCTATTTCCGAACAGGCTGGCTGCATGGTTGGTTTTTTTTTGTGGTTTTTCCCCATGTGTAATGTGAATACAAGCCAGTTCTCCTTACAAAGTCCTCTACAATAGAAGATCTCATAGTCAGCTAAATCGGATTTACTTTTGTGTGACCTTAAATGAGGCATCAATTGTGAATCTGTTTTGGCATGTTATTAGGAATTTTGAATGAAACATTTATTGCTGTTGTGAAAGAATGATCAACTGATGTTTACCTTACTAATCAATGTCTTATAGTATTGTAATGGCTTGCAGGATTTTTCATAATGTGATGTTGCATATGTTTTACTCTTCTTTGTTACCAAATAAATAGAGTATGTTCCTAATCCGACATTTCTTCTTTTGTACCAGGGTGTGGTTATGTATATGATGTGATAATTTGGATTTGTTTATAGAATACATAACAGTATTTTTTGATATTCTAATAGAACCAGTGTATTTTATTTATTTACTTATTGCTTTAAAACAGATTTTGAATCAAGGCTTACTTCCCACCCCCTTTGAGTATGCACATCAAACATGTTTAAGCTATATTTATAATATATCAATGAGATATATATAAATGAAATAAGTCTCTTAGGTTAGCTCCTTTAATGGAAAAAGAACAAAATAAAAATGATATACCTTGAAAACAAGAATACTATCTGAATAGTGTTGGCTAAGATTTATTCAGATGGTTTTTTGCGTTTATTCAGACATCTTGCATATAAATGACAATTAATTATATTATATTAGTTTTAAAAGTAAAACTAATATAATATCATTCTATATAAAGCTGTTTGATGTATAATGGAAAAAATTCAATTACTGCAGTATGTTTTTTAATAAAATTTGAATATAATAGACTGAATTGCACTACATTAGACAAAAAAGCAAAACATTTTTATTTATTTATCTTTATTTTCACTATATGTGTTTGTCATATGTTTGTTACTAGAGGACTTATTTTATAGATTTGAAGCTAAATAATATATTTATGTTTTTACTTATGCAAATTAATTAATAAAAAGAACTGTGATTTAAGTATTGTCTTTGCTGTGATATAGATTGAATCTTATTATGTTATGGAATTATCATTTAAATATTCAGATACGTGTAATATTAAGAGCATATGTATGTAAGTATAATTTTTCCAAGTGTAATAAAAAGTAACTATCAACAACAAATAAACTTATAAGTAAATAGTATCTGTAAATTCTGTATGTAAAGGTATTATTTTTATTTTTATTTATTTGTGTGTGTATTATTTTAATATTGTTTTTAACTAAATAAAGAAAAAAATATATATATTTAATGGAATTTTTTACTCTATTAAATCTATGAATCCCACAGTCATCTGAGCATTGAAGTAATTTTTATAGCATTCTGCACTTCATTCTAAAAGCATTATAATTTAAAGGTGTATATCCTGAATCAGTATTTAAAATCATAAAGTGTTTAGCAGCTTTTTCTGGAAACACACACAAAATAACATTTTTAACAAATTTGCTACAGTAATAGACGTTTGATTCCATGTGAGCAAAATTCAAATAACATATTAAAAATAAAAAACAAGAATTAAAGATTAAATCTTGTCCTAAATTAATGGAGGTTGAGGGATTTCCCTCAACCATATTAAGAATGTGGTTGAGGGAAAGCTCTTGTCAAAAAATACATTTTGAGATGAATAACATTATGCGTGTATTTAAAAGAAAAAATTGAAAATTCAATAAAGGAATTCAAAAAGAAAGTATTTTTAACTAAAAATACAAATTTGAAATATGATATGTGAAAATGTTTTAGAAACTTTTAAAATAACTTGAATCATACGAGAAATTTGGCAATTAAAAAAAAAAAAAAATACGAGAAAGAATCTGCAACTTCAGACAAAAGAAGGGAAAAAGCCAAGCCACACATCTTTATAGGAGTGCAGAAAAAAGCTGAAATTCGGATTCTCTAGAATGTTAAATTTTAGCGGACAGCGCTAAAGAGCCAAAGTTGCCGCTCCACACCTAAATTGCAACCCTAAAGCTTAGATTCAAAATGGCTGACGAGTCAGCCTGTATCAAGGAGGTTAGAATACATGGAGATGCCCTGCGCGCAGTCCAAGTGAAGCCAAAAAGTGGGGTAAAGCATGCCCTTAGTAGTCGTGGCTTTAGAAAGATTGACGAGCTCTTCAGCCAATGAGGCAGAACCTAGCCACACCCAGTTTCGTAAATTAAAGACCGTGGATTCTTCGCGCGCTTTTTCCTTCACTTTTTCCCGCCATTTCATTTTATTTCTACATTTTCTATCATCTTGTAGACGGCTGCAATATTGTTCCGAGAAGCAATTTTTATTCCTGCCAAAATGGTAAATTCCTGCGTCGCTTTCGGCTGTACAAATAGAAGAATAGCAGGATCCGGTATTACATTTCACAGGTAAATATTCTTTCAACATATATACTATCATTTATTTAATTATACTTTGCTCAAAGTTAGATAAAAATTTGCTGTGCATGTTTAAAACATATCCAAGGAAACGGCTGCAAGTGCTGATAATTGTATCAATTCTAATGATTATCAGGATATGCAGAGGGAAAATATATGTACAAAGGGACTGATTCCATTAAAATGAGTTAAATGAGAAATGCATTATGTAATTACAGGCTGTCATTAATGAATGCTAGCAATAAAGGTATTGTGAAAATAAATAAATAAATACTCAAACCATTAATTGATTATATTTTAGTTATTCTAAATATATACAGGTATAATTCTCAATTTTCCCATGTTAGAAATACTACTTACGTTTGAAAAATATTAAATTGCATGAACAATGAAAAAATAATATTTAAATCCTGCATTGTTATTTTAAAAACTCCCACAAATTTCACCCCAAATTAAATCCTGTTATTAAATATTTACTTGAACAGAAAATAAAATTAAATACATAAAATATGACTTGTAATGTAATATGATCACACCTTTAAAATAACGCGTTTTCTTTTCCACGATGAGCTGACCACTCCCCCTTCCCTTGTTTTACTTACCGTTTTGCTTTTACAACTCAGTTAATTACGAGTATAATACTCAAACCATTAATTGAAGAAAAATCTGAGAATTATAGATGTTCTTCGCGCACGTCACACCGAGAAAATACTCAACTCTTTTCTGACGGCTTTTCAAACGCACATTTCAATTATTCTACTTATTTATGCATGTTAAAAAAAAAACATTCTTTTATATGGAAATGAAATCCGAAATGTAGACATTATTTCAATGTAACCATTCAGTACCTTATAACCCTCTCACGTCTTCACATAAGAAATCAGAAAACACACTCAAAACTTCAAACAAGCTGACGTTTAACCTCACTTCACATAGTAAGGGAAGCGTTTTCTTGCCCTCACGAGGCGTGGCTTATTTGCTTCCCCCGGCTTCACTCTCCTCGTATTGCTACAGCAGAGACGCCATCTCCATGTATTCTAACCTCCTTGGCCTGTATCTCTAGTAGCTCTACTGATAAGGATAGCGTCCTTACGAGATGGTAACCAAAAAAGAACCACATGATTTAAAGCAATTACTAAGTATTTAATGCCAAAACATAATAAAATGAGCATAATAATAATAATGATCATAATAAATGAATGAATTTAAAGGTACTTTAGTGACAGATATTTGATTTAGCTTAGAGAAAGAAGTTCTACTTATCTGAACGGTCCGTCTTAGTGCTGCAAAAGATTGCAAGGAAGACAAGACCCCCCAGGTACAGGAGAACTCCCAGCTTTGAGAAAGAGACAATGCAGAGGATATTTGCGAAAATTTTCTGAAATAAATGAAGATTTTCCGGAAACACCTTTGAAAATTCAGGAGCTCTTCCAAGATCCTGCCTCCATCGTACGTGATCACAGCGCCCTCAATTATATTCTTTTGTAAGTGATCTCTACAATTTGTAATAAATAATAAACTCTAGTTCTCAAATATTAAGTATATATATGTGGCAATAGTAAGAAACGAAAACAAAGTTTGTAAATAATAATGCCAAATGCTCCAGCATGTGAATTAATTTACCTTGTGCTACGCTTTTTTATTGTAATATTATAAGAGATACCATTAGCTTGATTTAACTCCTTGTGTGAACCAACTACACCTGTTGCCTATTTATGCAAACACTTTTAACCTATCCGGAGACTGCAGGATCTCCATTTCTTAAAATAAAATTGTTTTTCCGATAATTATATTTACGCTTCTTGGTAAGAAAAAAAGGTATGTACATGTCTGTTACGTGGGCGATCCTCAAATACGAATAAATATTCTAGGCATTTTTGAGAATGCTGAAATGAATATATACACGTATTTCATTTTTATTATTATTTTCTGTATATTTTGGGTGTGATTTAATGTGTGGTGTTTCATCATGGCTATAAAGAGTATTATATTTAGAAAAAAAAAAGTTTTATCATTTTTTCTTGAATGATTATATGTAAGATGAAGCTTGGCGCTGTAATAAAGCAACGGCTAAAAATGCAATGTAACTATTGAGCAAATGAGTAAAATTAGCAGTGACTCCGCGGAACGCTGGAAACTTTGATCTCTTGTTGCTTCCATAAGTGTAGATCTTTTCTGATGCTTAATGCAAAGCTTAAAAAATGAACTAAAATGAGAAATTAGCACCGAATTATCTGACAGCATTGCAATTTTTTATTTTATTTCTTATTTATTTTTGGTTGTTTGTTTCACTATATATATAGAGAGAGATTGAGTTCAAAAGGATTAAAAATTTTGATTACCTATCTGAGGAAAAAGGTGTAGGTCAATAGGCTTTAAAACAAAAACTGAAGCAGCCGTCAGTCAGATATAAGTTCTTTAGCAGTAACCATAGAATTGTGCAGCGTACGATATCTCATTTCTGGAATAACAAAAAACACAAAAAAATGTTCTTTCCTGCATTTTTTTTTTTTTTTTTTTTCAATTACAATGTTAGTAGTTGTACAAAAAGGACGTTTCCCTAAGCTAAAACTGACAGTTCTATTAGGTCACATTTACATCAAGGAAAGTTGAATTTCTTTTCTACTGTCAATAGAAAATGATTTTATTCGAAGATTACAACATATTACTATGAACAAATTTGCCTTTTGAAAAGCCTGTAAATTTCATTTTAATATGTTGCAAATCTTAAAAGTATTGGTACTCCTCTGGGTAAAAATATATTTCAGGGTGCCCCTTCGCAAAAATTGGCGATTTTTAATGCCACTCCTGTTTACATCCAAAGCCCTCCAAAGTAAAATGATGTCTAAAACATAATGCAATAAAAATTAAAACAAAATGCGATACAAAAACTTTTTTTGTATTGCAAATAATTGAATTTTGTGTTTTGTATTGAATTCAGTAATAAATTCTCTTTAAAATGATATATACAAGTTTGCATTTTGCAAAACATAACATTTTCTATAAGCATACAAAGTTCAAAAACATAAAAATTTTCAAAAGTGTACACAATTTTGGCCACATCAAACTATTTTTACTTTAAAAAAATCATGGGAATGATGACATCATTTAAGGTTAAAACAAAGTTACTTATTGCCAAAATTGAACAAAATTTGTCACCAATTGAAGGGGCACCCAATTCTACACTAGAGCCAAACAAAACATTGCATTTTAAATTAAATAATGAAATAACATAAAAAAGGAAGTACATGTTTCCTCATGTATGCTCTACAAAAAGGAAATATCAATTTACCTTATTTAGAAATTTTCTACGTCTTCAGTCTGTGGCACACAAAATTTCTTAACAGCATCAAAAAACTTTCTAAAATTATCTGAACTAGAATATGCATACTGCCATCGCCACATAAATTCACAAAAATAAGAGTAAAAAATATCCTCCATAATGCTGAACTGTCAGTAGCATTTCTTCCAAAAATCCCTTTTTGTTACACTCCACATACCTTCTATAGTGTTGATATGAGCTCCGGTTTCTGGATCTTTAAACGTTACTGCGTGATTTACTGAGAAGTGAACGAAGCCATTATCAAAACGACGGTTATATGACTTCCAGCAGTTGCACATGATCGTTATTCCAGGTAAAATATTCTGTTGAATTACATCCAACAAAGTTTCTTTTTTTCTGTCCTCAACCACTTCTTCCACTCTCTCGTTCTGTATCACCAAATACCCAGTTTACCACTGGCAGCCATTTTACGATGTAAAGCACAAAATACACTACATATTTCCTAACCGACATCCAATGCAGAAAGGAGCTCTTACAAATATTTCCTCATCAGTCAAGTTCACAAGACAGTCGTACGACTTCCAGCAGTTGCATATGATAGTTATTCCAGGTAAAATATTCCTGGAATAACTATCATATGCAACTGCTGGAATTACATCTAACAAAGTTTCTTTTTTTCTGTCCTCAACCACTTCTTCCACTCTCTCGTTTTGTGTCACCAAACACCCAGTTTACCACCTACAACCATTTTACGATGTAAAGCACAAAATGCACAACATATTTCCTAACCAACATCCAATGCAGAAATATTACAAATATTTTCTCATCAGTCAAGTTCACCTCAGTCATGTCATAATAGGGTTTCCATAACATTCAACTACTCAGGTTACCATAAATGAAACAACAATTTGGCGATAAATGAAACAACAGCTTGGCGATAATCCAGTTGACACCCTTAAATATAGACTAACCCTCCACTGTTATCAGGACTGGATTTGGAAACGTATGTATGTGCATATGTGTGTACACACACATATACTGAAGAGCCAAAGCATTATGAGCACATACTCAATAACATGTGCGACCTCTGGCCTGCAAAATATCTGTAACTCGCCTTGGCATGGACCAAATGTCTAAGCAGCAGTCATACAGAGATATTCTGACTTGTTAATGTTTGAGCTCTGAGCTGCCGCTCCATGATATCCCAAATATGCTTTATCGGGATAAGATCCAGTGAGTTAGGTTGCCAGGACATTAATTGGAATTCTTCCTTATGCTCCTTAAAACACTCCAGCACAATTTGAGCTTTGTGACATGGGCATTGTCCTGCTGGAAGACTCCATTTCCAGTTGGGAAGACAGATGCCATGTAAGGTTCCAACTGATCCATAATTATGTTTAAATAATCTGCATCTTTCATGGTGTGTTTTACCACAAGTAAGAATTCCAGAGCTGCCCATGAGACACTCCCACAAAGCATAATACCGTCACCACCAGCCTGTGTGTGACTGCTATACAGAGGGGGAGCAACTGTTCACCTGGAAGACGGTGTACGCTGTGTGACCATTGATGTGATTGAATGAGAAATCATGATTCAGTCGACCAGGCTTTCTCGATGTTCCCAGACCCACTGTAAGTGCAGTTAACAGTGACACTTGGTCAACACAGGCACATGAATGGGACATCTTCTGTGCAGTTGCACATCCAACAATGTTCACTGAAATGTGTGTTCTGAAACACTTGCACCTCGACCTGTATCATATTGGGCTATTAGCTGAGCCAATGGCTGACACCAATTTTGCTGTACCAAGTAAGACCTTTTCTAACATATTTTCTCTTTGATGACATGTGGACGTTCAACATCATGGCATTTACAGTTCATAATTTTCATAATACAGTCATTCCGGTAGCGTTTAATTTTGTTCATATATTGAATCTCTTACTAGCTTTTCCATTAAATGCAAGTCCAAAAATCAGTCCTAATATTTATTCAATTTAAAATTGAATTTATTAATGTGAATGATTCTTAGAATTTAATATAACATGTATTTCGTTGGTTCGCTATAAACGACGTATCACTTTTCAAATTGTTGCCACCAAATAACCTCACCCTGTATTATTTTTAAAGAAATTAAATAAGGAAGAATCTGCATGTTTGAATGTATAGTTCTCACAATGTAAAAAATGATGGTACTTGCAGCCTGTGCAGTCGCACCAAGGAGCAAGATAAGGGACAGAAACATTTTGGATTTAGAAGCACGACTGACATTACAAAATGTCAAAAAGATAAAGACGGATCGATTTTTTTCCTCTGTTTTTTACATTAATGAGCTGGAGGGGAGAATCATTCGTAAATATCAATTGATAACTCCAGAATACATGCATTTCTTTCTTAAGGACACAAAATCATTAACGTAAGTTGAGCAGTTGTGGCATGAAAGGACTTTGCCCCACCCCCATGTCGAAATGCTGTTCTAAGGAAACGCTAAGAATTTATGACACCACATTTGGAAAGGAGAGATTTCCCATCTGGCATAGGGATCTTTGAATGAATTCAAGGTCCAAAAAAAAGGGGGGAAGTTTTACGACAGGCTATGAACACACAGATGCTCAAACATTAAGCGGCAAATATTTCATTTAATTTCCAGAATAAATTTAATGAAATTGTTTTCATTAAATTTATCAAAATTTATTACTTTTTCACTCGTGGGGGTAGGATATGGAAATGGATGAATATTTTTACTTGAAATAATGAGTAATTAAATATTTATCAAAATTTTCAAAATATTCGCACATTGCAGAGAAAATGCAGGTTAGGAATTCTTTCAAATCCCTAATTGAGAATTAAATCTGAAAGCACAGAACTCGTTTGAGGATTTACATGATTTGCTTTAGAAAAAAGAAGAGCTGTAGTGTTTTTTAACCTGTAAATTACCCATCTCTACCAAAAATTCACACTTATCCGTAAAAGATAATTCTGAAGACATTAAATTTGTTTTGAAAGTAATATATTAATCTCTCTTCATTTGAAACAAATATCATAAATTATAACTTTTTTTTAACAACGTGAAACATTTAAGCATATAATTAAGTAATGTGCAATACTTTGTACGTTATTTAAACAGAATTGAATTATTATATAATAATAAAGCACTCGAGGACTATTTGCCTAAGGGGAAAAACGCCTTCATGGAGTACTTTCTAATCATTATTTGAAATGAAATTTTACAATTTACTTTACTTTTGCTTTTAATTTACTTTCCACAGCTTTCAGTATGTGAAATCATCAATAATAATAAATTAATGAAAATAAAAATGGCATCACACAACTAAAAGTATATACTTCTTCGTAAATTTCGATAAATTAATTGCTGAAAATATTAAACATATCAATGTCAGCGTTGCCCTAATAGTTTTCAGTTGAATTTCAACATCTGAAAGAACGCGAATTATATTGCTATTTTCACTACACAAACGAATGGAATATTTCCGAGAAGAATGCTCCCCCGTTATTGCAATATTTCAATAATTTTTGC